CCCCGAAATCACGAGATATTGGGATTGAGAGGGATTTGGAGAGATTTGAATATAACTAACTCCCTCTAGAGGGCAAAAAATCTCACGGGCAGTGGAGCGTGTACACTGTAACAGTGTTGTAGAGACCGTGAAGTGGATAACACTGGGGGCTTCATCACTTCGAGCGATAAGGAGATTTCTAAACTCCCAAGACATCAACGACAGACTCTACCATTGTTTTGATACGTCTTTGTGTACACGTGCCAGTTCTTCTTTTTCTTCGTTTTGTATGAAGTGTGTGGGGGGTTGTTTTCGCACTAGAACACGTGACTTTTTGTTTTCGTGCTACTGGGGGTTGGGAGAGAATGGATTTCACTAGTTTTTTTCTAGTCCACGTCTAGTCGATTTTTTTTTCCTGTATTTATTTTTATTTGCGCCGAAGGAATTGCGGATTTTTGCGGGATTCTGGGTTTTTTTTGGGGTGATTTTCGGTGACTAAGAGCGGAAGATTTGGACGAGGGAGTGAGAAAGGATGCGGTGATGGTTTTCCCGATGTTCTGAGACTTGACAGTGAATTACGTGTACTCAAGTGCCTGAATTATATCAGTTTTTTGTTTGATAACTCTTTGTTTACACTTTGATTGACATTTATACACCAATTTTCTATGTACGTGTACACATATGCGAGATAAAGACGACAATTTTGAGTTTGGTAAGTTTCAATTCAGCTCTGTTGTACTTTTAGTGTTAATATTCAAGAGGGTTGTGTGAATTTAGCACTCGATTGTGAACCCTTCTCATTCTTTTCCCCTTTATTTCCCTCTTCCCCTGGAGTTAGAGACAATTTTATTTCGATTTGATTGAGCAATTCGTGTAAACTTGGATGGAGAAAAAAATATATAATTGCAGTGTTGAGGGGAATTGAGATGTAAAGTTTGCAAATGGTCGCGTAATTGTTTGCATGTGACTTTTGGAAAGTTTGTCGTTGAGGGGACATTGTCTCCCACTGTCTGGGAAACATTAACCCTCTCCTGGGTGGAAATAAACTTAAACTTTAGTTTTTTTATTTCAGCGCTCATTTTTATTGATTTGAATGGGCCGCTCTGATGTCTGGGATTTTTGGGGATAATGCTCCTCAGGGAGTGCGGAAAAATAGAAAAAATTTACGTACAGAGAAGCCCAAGTTGAAGTTACACCGGAAGTGTACGCCACCGTGGTCGGTGAACCCACCCACTACGTTTGCTCTTGTATAATAAACCGAATTCGATCGGTAGTGACACGGAGTTTTACCTTCTGGTCTCTTTCTAACATTACCCCTCTCCCCCGGCTCTTCCCTGACGGATTTGTCCACTTGTTCATGCAAAATTTAACTCACCGCGACGAGTTTAGAATTCTCGGCTTTTTTCGCGTGCCATCGTAAATATCCACAATTTGTTTTTCTTCGCATTACTCACTACCTCATGATAATAAAAACGCGATTACATCGGGCATTAAAAATGAACGAATGCCCTGATCGATTTTTCATTGTTTTTTTTTTTTTGGGAAACAAGAAATCTAAAATCCCCCAAATTCCCGGATTTTTCACCCGCGATTTTTTGTTATTCTTCCCCCACGACAAAACTAATTGAATTTACTGGAGCAGTAGTGGGAGGAAGCCTGAATTTCCCACGACCTTCGTAACAATTTCGGCGATTTTTAGGCCGTCACGCTAATATCAGATCGATGTGTATACGGATGCTACGTTGGGGTTGGCTTGAAAACTACCGGTGAGGCCACATGCCGTGAGGGTTTCGAGTGTGTGGTGGAGGCCGATATTTGGGTCGCGTGGGGGCTACAATCCCCCCCCCCTCTCACGATCGAAGTCACACACCGAGCGATTTTACAGGTCCATAATCAGTTAAACTCCCTGTTTAAGCAAAATACAGGGCGGTAACAATTGTCGTGAGCTTTTAAAAAATGTAAATAACGAATCTGTCAAGCACAGTTCTTTTGTTTTTCGTGACCCTCTGAGCCTCTACCCTCGATCACCCACTCCTCCTCCTCCTCCTTCTCTCCTTCTCCCCCGTCTCGCCCCTTTCAACGCGGGGTGAATGATCAGCAATCCACCATTCAAACGCGCGAAACCGAGCGAAGTGGATAACGTACGAGCTGTGGTCAGTCGGATCGATTACTTCGGGGCTATACCTACATCTGCCCCCCACCCTCTCTTTCAGAATGATGCGCCCCATAAGGAGAAACCAACCGAGCATTACCTTGCCTATAAACTCCTTCACCTGTCGTTTTTTTTTATTCAGCTATCTGCTATTTTTCATGCGGAGGTCATGCCTATTTATTTGTCCAGGAATTCATCGGAGACAATGGGGATTACAGGGAGATGGGACTGTGGGGAATTGGGTCCCGAGGGACAGGCTAATTGGCAGGGTTTTTTATTCGACTGTTGCGTTTGTAAGTGTAACGATTATGTAGGTTGAGTGAACTGAATGATCACGTGAGATTTGTATCGAAATTCCGATGGGGGATGACAATATTTGTGATAAGGCTGTTGGATTAGTGACCATTCAACGGCTTATTTTCGTACGAAAAATGTATTTTTATGGGGAGGGAGGATATTTATGAATCGAGAATGGTGACTCGAGCATTCTGAAATCGTCGAATTGTAGAAGGTTTTTCGGGGGGAAAAATATTTCAACGAAATGTCCGAAACCTTGACACATCAATTTCTCATTTTGTTCAATGTGAAATGAATAATAAGAATTACTTGTTGAGCTACATCTTTTATCCAACAAATGCATTCCGTTTTAATTCATCCCCAGCGGATGACAGTGAGAGGTAAAAAAATAGTTGAAACAAAAAGGAAAAAAATTGCACTTTTTTTTTCGTTGAAAACAAGCAGAGAGAGAGAGAGAGGGCACGACAACGCGCCGGGAAAAACGTCGATAAGACGCGCACACGCCGCGAGTGAGAGAGCCCAGCCACCCGTGGCTGAATTAAAAGTCGATACGCTCAGTTTTTTATGTTCCCCACTGTCATTCTTCTCCTTTTTATATTTCTCTCCTCTCCCCCGCCCCCCCCCCCTCCCACGCCATCATTTTTATTATTTTCTAGTTTTGCAAATGTCTGTGATAACACTGGTCAGGGGACGGTACCTTTCACTCACCTCTATCAGTATTTTTTTCACTTGTGTTAGGCTGACTTGCGACTGCTCTGCATCGGTATGGTCATGTGCGTGACGTATTAACGAGATGTATGTCGATACCGTACTCGGATATCACTGAAGAATTAAAATGTTGCGTTAATGGCTCGTTACTGTACGTTAAGAGGATTTTACACCATTCGTTATAAACGCATATTAATTAGTCGGGAGGGATTTACACTATTATTTTCACGGAATTATTGACAATAAATGTATCTCTATGACGTAACAGTGGAATGAAATGAAATGAAATGTCGATTTTCTACTTCAATGGTCGTTGAATTTTTGGTTTGCTTTTAGACTCGTTTTTTTCGACTTTAGAATTGCTAAATGAACGCTTACTGGTGACTGATTAATGCTGTAACAACGATAAAATGCACCCAATCGAATTCTATCATGAGAAAGTGGATAATAAAGAAAACAAAATAGAGGAAAAAAGAAAGTGAATTGAGGGAGAGAAGACGTATCGAGTAGTTGGGGATAAAGCGGGATGGGATTATCATGGGTATAGTTATTATCAAGCTAACCAATACTCAACACCCAAGACAAGACAGATAATTTCATTCGCGTTACATGCGAGTACGGAATTTTACAAGTGCTGATTTCATTTGTATTGAAATAAGAAATTAGCTCTCTTTTTTCTCTATGAGAAACTCAATGGAATCGAACAAATCTACGAACATTTCAATAACGTAAACGATATAATAAATTATTACCAATATTGGTAATAATGATTTTATAATTTCAATTGTTCCAGTGTTTTTAACATTCCATCCGGATATTTAAAACCACTCTTACTGGTCCTCAAGAAGCAGCAACGATGGGTAGAAAGAAGATACAAATCTCTCGTATCACAGACGAGCGGAATCGTCAGGTATTCAAATTTACAGAATCAAGAGGAACAATTTTTTTTAGAAAGTTGAGTATCAACAGAGAATTAATAAAATGCAACCTTCCTCGAGCAGGTGACATTCAACAAGCGTAAATTTGGTGTTATGAAGAAGGCTTATGAGTTATCAGTACTCTGTGACTGTGAGATTGCACTGATAATATTCAGTTCAAGTAACAAGCTTTATCAATATGCCAGCACTGACATGGACAAAGTACTACTCAAGTACACGGAGTACAACGAACCACACGAGTCACTCACCAATAAGAATATCATCGAGGTGAGTTTATTTATCCATTGAATTATTGATACTTCAACACATGAATGAGGATAAAAACCCGAGAGCAATAACTTCACTTTCCCTTTGATTTATTTGATGTATTGAAATGTTAATAACAAGTACACACGATAAAATGATAAAACAACCGTGGAATTCTTTTCGAGTGGAATAGCTGATGATTACGATTGAGTAATGACAGTAAAACGTTTCGTCAATGGCTAGAACCAACTGATGTAAATTTCAATAGTATTATAATGCACATTAAGTGATAGTTGAGTGCCCTCGGGCGGTTTGGTCACGTGAACCTGTCTGCTGACACTTGCAGGCGCTCAACAAGAAGGAGCATAAGGGCGCAATGTCACCGGAGAGTCCGGAGCCGGACGCTAACGAATACAATCTCACACCACGTACAGAGGCCAAGTACACCAAGATCGACGAGGAGTTTCAAATGATGATGCAGAGGAACCAGCATAATGGGACAAGGGTAAGAACTTTTATCCCTATTTTTTCTCTCTCATCTCCTCCGTCTCTCTCTCTACTTCTTTCCCAATCTAATGTTACGTGGCGTCTGAAGGCCACCGATCTCTCGTAGATTAGACAAACAGAATGATTAAAGACCATACGATACACACGAAATTGATTTCCGATCAACTATCGATCGATTGGTATTATCGATTGTTTAATTCGCGGTATTTTGTGGTGGATATTCAACAGGGTATGGGACAATCGAATTACACGCTGCCAGTCACTGTGCCGGTTAATACTTATGGTGAATCACTACTTGGATCTAGTCCACAAATGGCGCACACTAGTATTTCACCGAGACCATCGTCATCTGAAACTGATTCAGGTAATGAAATAGCAACTGCCATTTTTCTATTGATTTTTTTTAACTGATGGGTAACGATATTTGATAATGAATATTAGATCCAGACTTTTTGATTGAATTGAGTTCACGGAAAGAAATATTCAATAAAAATTACGCATCTTTTCCGTAATTCCGGAGCGATATGTGGTTGTAGGAAATTTTACGGAGCTGTCACGTAATTTTTACCTGAATCTCCTGTGGAAAATTACAATGCCGTCACTTAAATTTTCTGAGTCGATTCCGTAATCGGTGAGCGAACTGTGAGTTCCGTAATTCTTACTGAACATTTGTCTCCGTGTTGAATTGAGTTAATAAAGATGCAAAAAAGTATGAAATAAAAAAAATGAGAAGTAGTTATTCTCTTCATTTTTTGGAGTAATTGAAAAGCATTCTGACGTTTGTTCGTTTTTCATTCGCAGTTTATCCACCAGGTGGAATGCTAGAAATGAGTAATGGCTATCCACCATCAGCCTCACCCCTGGGCGGCTCACCATCCCCAGGGCCATCACCAGCTCTAGTTGTTGGTGGTAACAAGGGTGCAAATCCGTCCCGTCACTCACCCCAACCACCTCCACCCCCTCATCCACACAGAGCTAATTTACGAGTCGTCATACCCACTCCACTATCACAATCGCTCTCTGAAGACACCAGTTACGATGTAAGATTTTTGTCTGTGAGTTAATTTCATCATTGTTCAAAGCCATTAATTCACAATGCATCCCCCAGCAAAAAATTTATTTAAAAAATATATAAAATGGTCCAATTCCATATATTTTTCAAATTTATAAAGAATATATAAAAAATATATATTAAACATATTTCATACATTTTTTCATGTAAATGGGGCCAATTTAAGATATTTTTTTAGATATTTTTCGAAATATAAATTTTTCCGTGTGGGATAACACAGGATTTTCATACTTGAAATTATTCACCGAGGCGATTCTATCATTTATGGTGCATACAAATGCGATTGGTTTAATCGAGTGGAATAATTGTGTTGGGAATAGGGGGGCCACACACAGACTGCACTCAATACACCGGTAGTTGCGCTACAGACTCCATCAGTGGCAGCTGGTTACTCGAGTTTCGGATCGTCAGATTATTCCTCAGATCTTGGAAGTCTAACGTGGTCACATCAGAGGTACGTTGATGACTTGTCAATGTATTCGGCAGCCACCATGTCAAGCATCAGGTAATTCATCATCTTAATCATATTTCTACATTTATTTCCACTGCCTGAGTGTCTGCAAATTTAACAAACCATGAATTGCCAACGAAGGAGTGTTGCATGAGGTTCCCTGCCATCGGAACAATGGTATTATTGAAATAGTCATTTCTTCACGTATAAAATGAATTAATTACCCTAAAGAAGATTTTTTTTCTTTCCTATTATTAATAAAGAAAGAAGAACTAGTTGATCGATCATTAATTTGAGAAATTTCACAATTACTCAATTCATTGATTAGTGAGCATTGTTAATTTTTATATTTCAATGAATATTGACAAACTTTAGTTATTCATGTTATTTTATCCGGACATCCTACTGAAGTAATGATTACATTCGAGGGCTGCACGCCATTTCCCCTGAAACAACTCATAATCAATACAGCTCACTATTATAAGTAATTCATCATCTTAATCATATTTCTACATTTCTTTTATTTGTCTAATCCTCTTCAGACGTAACAACCAATGGATTTACAACAAAAAACCGTTGCCTGAGGTTTCCTCATAAAATCACCAATAATTTAACTAAAAACTACTCATAATCAATTAAACTCCCCATTCAACAAGCTGTTGAAAATTGATTCCTCCAGCCACGTTACGCTTCATCACTCCCCTCCCGACCAAACATTCGACTCAGATGAATGGAATTTCCTCGTCACCATTCACCTCACTACGTTCCGCATCATTACCAAAATCTCATTAACAAAACTCCCATAAAACCGTGTCAATTTCATCAAGAACACAAACGCTTGAAGCACCGAGAAAATTCCCAAAACTTGAAAACAAAAAATCTCGTTATGTTTGCAGTAGCCTTCCTCACTTAGCCGTGTCCAGTAGCACACCGCCACCGTCGACGTCTCCCCTCCCAGTGAAAATAAAGAGTGAACCGATAAGTCCACCCCGTGATCCCCTCGGCAATGCTGGTGGTGGTGCTGGAGGCCCAAGTAGTTTGCATCATACAAATTTAACAGTAGGATCAGTAACAACAACAGGACCGCCTCCACCACACCACGTTACCCACAATGTACCCCAAACCCTGAATCTCGTATCGAGCCGGCCAACAAGTAATCCACCACCAACGCATTCAGGCAGTATAACACCAACAAATTTACCATCACCGAGTAATGCTGGTAATGTTGACATGAGAACGAGTCATGGCACTGGTGGTAATGGTGGGGGTAGTGGTTCGGACTATGAGAATGGACCGTTGATGAAACGATCTAGGATTACTGAAGGATGGGCCACCTAATGCCGGCCATTTTTGCGGCCCTACTGGTCCTACTCAGCTTCGTCGTACAATGGCTAATAATGAAGGAACGAGAGAAGAAAAAATAATAATAAATCATTTTGTTACGCTGACAATGAGTTGAGTGACTCGGAGATGGCCAATGTGCTCTGAGGGCTCGTGGAGGGCTCACCAAGTACGAAGGATTGTTTGTTTCAGCCCTGAGGATCTTCGAGAAATCACTATAGCAACTGGGACTCTTGATGCTGTTTCAAATGGGAATTAAACTATGGAGCTTTTACGTTTTTTAATGGGGTCAACTGCAATACGCGGATTCACAATCTGTTACGTTCTTCGTTCATTGACTTTGCACTTGGGGGAGGGTGATCAGGGGGTGTTTTTCGTTCATCTGGAACTATGATGATGATAATTGTGGTGCCATAATGTTGAAATATGACATAAAATATATATAAATCTATATATATTTTCATGTGTATAATAAGAAGTGTTGTTTGTATATATGTCGAGAGAGAAAAAAGAGTTCGTAATGGTTTGTCGGTATGGCATATACACTCATCCTACACTATTGCATAGAAATTCCACTCTCTTTTTGTTTTCTAAGTTGCTAGTGAACTATCGAGGGGGTCTTTGATTAGAGATAATTGGAGATTAAGTACCCAGACATTTTTTTTTTCGTTTTAGTGATATCTTGTTGACGTGACGTATAATAATACCGAGAAACTATGAGAAATTATATATATTTAAATATATATATTATTACTGGAGGGATCTGCACCGAGTGTTGGATTCAAAGACCAGAATCTAATGTGTTGGGATTATAACTGTTATATTTTTGTGTGGTAGTCCATCAGCAGCATAATCCGTTGATAATAACTTTACCTCATTGCAATCGTGTGTGACATTTATTTTTAATTCCCTTGTTTCCTCTAATATCTTCTTTCATTTTATTTTTATTTTTTTTTTCAATTATTATTCGGTTCAACTTCCACGAGTAATTGATCTAGTCAAAGAAATTATCAGTACTAAAAAAGAAAATAAAAGGAGAATTAGCAACTAGCTGGATGCGTTCAGACGGCTGTAAAAAAAGAGGAAATTAATTGTTTTTTTTTATTCGCCAAGCCAAAATGAAGTGGAAGCTTTTTTTCGAAATTTCTCTTGGAAGTCGATTTCTCAACTGTCACAGCTTTATTTTTACACTTATTTTCCCCCCAAATATTGATTTTTTTTTTTACTTTATCGCGTAATTTTAATTTATCAAGAATGCCTTAACATTTCGGTACTTATGGGCCGATCTGATGAAACTGTTACAGACAATGAAATAGCTGTCGATCTCAGTAATGGATTAAAATAATTACTAAAGGAGAATTAACGATTGATTCATCAATAGTTGTTTTTTTTATTACAATAGTTATAAGCATGCATTTTGAGTGTTTCCCCTCTGTCTTCATTTTTCATTTGATTCCTTCCATTTTATTTCCTTTGTTTGCCCCGAGTGAGTTAATTGACGGTATATGTCTGCTGGCACAATGAAATAAAATCAATAAAATTGAGGGAATAAAAAACGTTGGTTGCTGTTTGAAAAAAAAAACTATCCCCGATATTCTGTGAGAATCAGATTTGAAATTTAATATATTAAAGTATGAGGAGAGGAAAAAATTTAACGATAGTTAGTTAGATAGGTCATACATCTAAGTAGCGTTGATTGATAAATGATTAAATTGAATAAAATAAATGAAATAACTACGTAAACCTAGTATACACACTCACGAAGCGCATATAAATTTAATGTATGTATGTATGTACATAAATATTATATTCGTACATATGAATACATTTTCCACGAGTATTTTGCACGTTTGATATGAAGAAAAACTATAACAAAAACATGATATGAAGTGACGGTTAGAAAATGCAAGCCCTCTTTATCCCAATGAAAATTATCATCGTTGAGAGTTTAACTCGCAGGTTTATGTTGAAGGAGTAATTAATAGCCATGAGATACACGTAAAAATTGTCATGTACACAGATGAATCCTCAAATTAGGAGAAATTGTCCCATTTTTTTTAATATTGCAATTCAAAATCAGAAGGTTTTATCGTTTCGACGTATCCTGCTGAGGTATTCTCTCAAATCACCCACACTTGGAGGAAAGAATAATTAAATAAATGTAATTTAATGTATCCTAATGGAGTACACAGGTATTGAGAATAAAATAGTGCCTGGCACCATTTGTGGCCCTCGTTTTTCGTAATATTAAAAACAAAGCCGACATCTATGAAGTGATAACATACGTGGGAATTTCATTATTGTTATGCGACGAATGCTATTCCCTTCATTATTTCGATTTTTTAACGAATGTTTTGGATCTCCCAGAACCATGTGAATGGAAAAGGAAATTATGAAGAAAAATTAACGAAAAAAAAACAACATTAAATGGTCAGATTGTAATATCGACTTGATAAGATGATCACAAAGTGCAATCTTTTAGGCAAAAAAAACACTTTTTTATCGATCTAAAAAGTATAAAAAGAAATTGTTATTTTTCATAAGGAAGAAATGAAGTTTGATATATTGAAAAGAATATATTTCTCCCCTAGTTGTTTAAAATGAGTAAAAACATTTTCCTATTAATAAAGACAAATTAAATTAATCGTAAATACTGAAGAAACAATTTGAATGACGTTTTATTGAATTCAATTGATATTTTTCCAATGTGAACGAATAACAAATTGTACAATGTTCAATGGTACAACTCGACTCTATGTTGTGCAGTGAAACGAGACTTATCGTTATGTCCACAGAGCAAATAAAAAATCATTCTGTTTAATGTGTTATGGAATTATTTATTTGGCATGTTCTTTAAATGTGAATAGAACTGGACGAGACGATCAGTTTGTTCCAAATTTATTAGTTATAGTGGATGTAACGATATTCCTCAACAAATTCTATAAAAAACAAATTCTTTCGAATGCTGTGACTTTTATGGACCATCTTTAACAGCTTTATATAACTAATTATTCAGGTAAAACATTCACTAGAGAACTACAAAAACTAAACAGTACCATATACTCCGCATGAGACACAACAACAGGCCCCAAAAACTCCCGTTGGCTTCACTAGAAACAAAAGAACAAAACAATTAATCTAACAACCAGCAAATTATTGTAATGCACAGCACGATAAACCGATACGTTGGTTGTAAACAAGCGTAGTAATGTTAAGATTATTAAAGAAAAAAAAAGATAACAGCATAAATACAATGAAGAAGAATATTTTTAAAAAATTATGATGTATGTACTAGCCACAACTGTTGTCACTGCAGACTAAACCCATAAGTTATTAAGTTTAAATACAGGTTTACAAACTGGACATATCTAAGACGCCAAGTAGCATCAACATGTCTCATATACACGTGCAAGTGGATGGAAAAAAATTGTAACTAAAATTTTCAAAAGGAGAAATAATGCTTTAATATCCAACTAACAGTTATGACAGTGTAAATTTTAAAAGTAATAGGGAGCTACATTTTCCTGTCGTTTGGGGCTGAACATTTTTTCCTGATTGCAACATTGGATGCAGACAAGAGTTTTACTATCAGCATTGTATTGAAGATATTAGAGGATTGTGTAACAACTCAATCATTTATTTGTGTAAAAAATAAAGATTATAAACGATCGTTGAATTATTTACGAGTATCACGTGGAGGTTTTATGAGAGAAAAAAAAACGTTGGGCCTGTTTTGTCATTGCTACAGGCAATCTGTTTCCTTCGAATCATTCATTTATCATTTTGGTTCTTGTACATAACTATTTTACCGGTCATATCGAATTCATATGGCACATTAAAAAATGGTTCGTTTTATGTGACTATGGAGCTTTTAATGAAATGTGAACAAAGAAAATTGACACAAAATTATGGAAAATTGTTGCTGCAATTGTTGTGAGCAGTCCAAATAGCCATGAATAATTATTTTTTATTTAAAAAAAGGAACAAATATGGAAAGTAATTCTTATAGTGCCATTGTAACAGACTAATTTAATGGAATATCACCTATTGTTTAAGTAGAATGTTAAGGATGAAAATGGTAAAATTGTAATTGACACAATTGTAACAATTGCGGTGTTGATAAAAAAATACAAAGACTCGGTTTTATGTTTGTAATAATTGTTATAATGTTTGCCAAACATTATATAAAAAATATATATGAAATAATGATTAATTATTGAATTAAGTGTGACACGATAAACAGAACAAATGTTGGGATGATTTTTCTGCGATACTAGTTTGTCAATGAAAGGTGTCATCCAATTATGCACATCCGATGCCACGCAACACAATCGAATAATAAAATATACATGTATGTGTATTCTGGGAAGGAAGGAACCAGAAACAATGGAGGAAAAAGTGATTTATAGTTGATAATACGAAGGTGAACTCGTTTTGAAGTTAAAATATCTCATTTTGGTGCTCGAACTCCCTCTCCTCCCCCATTTACATTTTATGTTACCTTGTTTTCAAATTTTACTGATCCAATATGATTGTTAATCATATATCTGCCTATTAATCGGTCAGTGAAAGAGAAGAGGAAGGATGGATAATTACTGAGACTTAGTAATTAATTATTGTTATCTCGTAAATGCTCTATGTACATCACGAACACGTAATCGACGATTTCCCCCTCCCGCCCCTTCTCCTTGAAAATGAAAAGAGGAATGTAAAAAAAAAATGAAGAGAACATGTAAAACACAAATCCGCAATATGGTTATATTTCAGTGTACCAGCGTAATTGCTAATTATTATTATGATGTTGCCCATAGAATACATTTTACTCGGTTTTTATATTTTGCTGTATTTTATTCCATAATTGATTATGGAAATGCTGAGAATATCCAATTCAATCCTGACTTACTTTTGCATGAAATAATTCTCCAAATTTAGCTTCCGCTTGATTGTTGATTTATGGAGTAAATTATTCCCTATTGAATCCAAGAGTCAAACTGTTGTGTATGAAAATACCCCGATCCTCGGTAGAAATGCCTTAACGTCACGTGCCTCAATTTTTAATATTCAAATTATTCACAACTATACGTAAAGACACACCTCTGTTTATCTGTAATATTCTATCTAGTGTTAACGTATGAGAAAAAAAAAATTATGAAATTCTAATGAAGTGAGGGGAAGATGAAAATGATACTCTGTGTGAAATTGAAACTTATTCTTTGTACTACTCTTGTAAATACATTCTAAAAAATTAATCGTCAATGTTTTGTGTTGACTACTGCTGCTTGATTTTTTTTAACGAACTCATGCACTGAAAGTTCATCAGAAGCGGAAAAAGGTAGGTGAAATGATTTTCTAATAAGTACTTTAATTTTCAATATTGTTTTTGTTCTTTTTATTTATTTTATTACACACAAGATTTTTTTTCTGAAAACTTACAAATAAATTCATGCCCTTACAATGTCGAAAAATAAATGGGGCATAAAATTACACAGACATATATCATTTCATTACTGTAAAATATAAAGAACAATTTTTTCTATTCCTCTTCGAAACTAAGAAAACAAAATGAAACAGCACTCATTGTGTTGGTGCAGCTCTCAAGAAGAACTCACGAGTCCACGATTATTTTATTTACCATTATGTCCAAATTATCTTGTTCCAGAATAGACATTGCTATATATTTTTATATAAATATAATTTGTATCATTTTATCAGCAGTTTCTCTCGATACAAACCTACGTGAAAAAATGCTTCCATCTTCTCACCAGAAATTAAACTCCTAAACCACTTAGTTGTTCACTTTTATTTTATTATTAATAATTATCCATAGAAGGGTTATAAGCATTTGTTTGACATAAAAAAAACATTATATTCGTCCGTATTATTTCGTCTCTTGTCGTGTACTATTATCGTAACTCAGGTAAATGCAGATACATTACAATTGTATTATTGTGATTATCTTTCCACCATCGTTGTGTATTTTCATATCTAAATTAATTTTGATTGTGCATTATTGAAGAGAGCTAATTGGGTAGACGTTATACAAAATCATGTGAATCAGGATACATCCTCATCATTTTTCACCAACAAAAAAATAATCTGGAAGCTATTTTTAACGAGAATGAAGAGAAAAATTAATTCAATCATTCACAGGGAATTTCATGAAGACCAAATGCAACTATAACGACTAATCATTAGCATCTATCAAGCGTGAGTTTTATCCTCATTTTCAATATTCTTTTCACCTTTCAGATTAATGAAAATCATTCTCTGTCCTCCATATTAAATGATAGATTATTCTGACCCTCTAAACGAATTCTCGTAGCATAAAATGCCCCCGATAATCTTAATAAGCTTAATTAAAACTCTTTCTGTATTTTGAATTTTATAAATCTTGGACTTAACAAATTTTACGGCTTACATAAGGCGACAACGTTCCTCACCCTGGGGGTCACCCTAGAACATAAGAGATTTTATGAAATACTGCAGGCGTTTTTATCATTTAATTTTAATCTTCCACCAAACCCCAACATGCTTGAGTTAATTACTTTTAGGCTACTGTGTGCATGAAGGCATCATCGAAAATTAACTTGATACTATTTTTTTTTCATTAGTCACAATGATGCAAGCAGTTCGTCGACAGCGAGAAGGGTCTTGCCAATTTCTTTCTTTCCATATTTTTTTTCCAATCACTTCAGTTCCGCCTATTTTCCATTTTTCCTGCCATTTCTCTGATCATTGATTATTTTATTTTCTAAGTTTAGTGAAGCAGTGATGCATAGAAATTGTGCTCAACACTAAGCAAAAATGCTTAAAATTAATACGTTTTAATGAATGAAAAGTCAAATGCACTTGTGAATTCGATGAACACCTAGAGACGTTTTTTATTAATATAACTTACATGGGCCGTCCATCAGAGTCGTGGACCCTCTGATTATTGGAAGAAGAGAAATCTTCTCTATGACAGAAGAATTGAACATGTTTGAAATCCCCCCCAACTGATCCAGTCAAGTTTTAATGTTTCTACTTTCGCTTTTTGACTTCTAAACTGCTTGTATCCAAACACAATGTTTAACTAACAATCCACGAGGAATCTCGTCTCCCAATTGAATTTATCAAAATGTGCATTCGTATTTGCTTAAATTTTCTTGTTAGTTAAACATGCTGTACTGAGGACTCAATCTTTCAACAATTTTACCATAACCGTGGCTACTTGAAAAAGTTTTAAAAAACTGCATTTTTCATTACCTGTTGGTGGTGAAGATCCTCAGATCCTCGAAACCCCAAGTTTTCCCTGTGTCGAGACATTGAAGTCGTCATTTGCTGCCTCTTTCGTTCAGACGTTGCCATTTCCTGTGAAACAATTATTTAAAATTAATAAATCACAAATCACCACATAAAAAATCACTTCTAAATTTTATTTTCCAAAAAAAAACATCGTACCTCTCCATCATTATTCAAGAGTGTAGTGGTCATATTATCAGCAATAAACCATTTCTGTCCCTTCATCACGATATTCGATGGAGGCTCGTGAGTCGCTCCAATGTCTGACGACCAAACCAGAACATTCGCCCCTGGCTCGATCTTAGCAGTCCTGTGGAATTTGAACACAGTCTCCACGGCCCCAGCTTTGCGAATTAATTGCCATCCACTCAGAACAATTTCCTGAAGCAACAAAAACATTCCAATCAACTCAAACTTTCTCCAACAAAACAAAAAACTAATAATTAATCCGACAACTAAATTACCTTGTTCCCCTTGTTCGTAAGTTTAACGAATCTCCCCTGTGGATCGGCCTCGTTGATCTCCACATCACTCCTGGCAGAAGCAACGACACTGTAGTCACTGCTGCTGCGCTCCTCGCTCTCCTCAAGAAGCGTACGCTTGCGTTTTCCACCCCTGACAGGAGTGTGCCTGGATGGAGTGCTCCTGCCAGTGGAGACCGATGCAGCAGGCGACTGAACTGGCGTGATATTGAGCCTGGCCTCCTCCGACTCCAGGAGTTTCCTGTAAGCTGCAATTTCAAGATCCAGAGCGACCTTGATGTCCATCAAGTCCTGGTACTCCTGCAGCTGCTGTGCCATTTCATCCCTCATCCTGCTGAGCTCGGCCTCCAGTGCAGCAAGTCCCTCAGCATGTCGGGCACGCTCACTCTCCCTGATGTTCTCCAAGTCCCTGATGCGTGCATTGAGGGCATTATTGGCAGACTCCAGCTCCGAGATGCGTTGATTGAGACCATCAATACGAGTTCTAGTCTGTCTGAGCTCCTCAACAGCCAAAGTCGCAGCGCCACTATTGCGCTGAGCGTGAGACGTCAAATTCTTGATCTTGTTCTCGTAGAGGAGCTCGATCTCCTCGCGATTCGCTCGCATCTGTCCCTCGTACTGATCACGCAACTCCTGAAGCGACTGCTGGAGTTTTGCCTCGTACTGCTCAGCAAGACGTCCGTCGATCTCCGAAATTTCCACTTGACGACGTGTGCGAGTCTCAGTCAACTCCTGCTGGAAGACTTGATCCTTGAAACTTATGTCCTCTCGGAGACTCTGGATGTTGTTCTCGAGATCAATACGCTGGAGGGTCTCCTCCTCAAGGTGTTTTCTAGCGTCGTCCAGCAGTGCCTTCAGTCTCTCCACCTCTTTCTCCAGCTCGCGCTCACGCTCCTGGAGCTTTTTGCGTTCAGCTTGGGACTGGTTGTACTGGGACTGGAGATCATTGGAGCGGGTCTCGTAGATCGATGCGTTACGCTCGGCAACTTGAAGATCCTTTGTTTTCTTCTCCAACCTTCATGACAAATTGAGAATGTGAATTGATTCAGGCGACAAAACGTCAAGGCAAAGTGATACATCGTTAGTAGGGAAGGGTGGGGTAAAATGGACACTTTAGAAATTTTTTTAAATCTTCATGACGTATTGAATTGTTCATGAAATGGGATAATTTTATTTTTCAATTGAAAGGACAATTCTTCCCCTTTGCGACGAGTTTAGACTGAACTCGATTGATAAATCTGTTTCTGACTTATGAATATTTTTAAAAAAGCAAAAAGTGTTCATTTACCCCTCCCCCCGCCCCGACGTTTAAGTGGAAGAATGTTCCTTGACATTTAGTAATTTAAATTCCAATTTGCTTCAGTCATAGTATTTTAATTTTCTGAAATTAATTTCCCGTTAAATAATAGAGTTTAGGGCTCAGTGAAGAAGAAAGATAATCAAACTGTCCAATCAATTAATTACCCGGTGGGTGCGGACGCAGACTAAGAGTGCCGTATATTTTTTTTCATCTACTACTTGTCATTCCAGAATTTCTGGACTTCAAAACATCGCGAATGAATGATGTAATGGATAAAAACGCTGGGGCAAACACATTCAGGTAGTGATCTTGAGAGATATGGGAGTGACCCTGTTCATACAGTCAATAATAATTCACCTGCCTCGGTGTGACTATCTCACTATCCTTGGCCCAGTAGTTGACCGTGCCATTAACAGAAAATAAGAAAAAGAGAACTTTTTTCTCATTTAGAATCGATTCTCCGGGGCTTTCAGCTCGTTAATCTACGAACCGACGCGTCCAGTTGGAAAATAAAACCTCTGAAACTCGAAAAATCTGGTGCTTCACTCTTGTGCAAAATCGTAAAATAAATTTGAATGAAAGAGAGGAAAGAGTGATGCCTCGTGGTGTCTATTTCCGTCGGTTCGCCCCACATTGAGCGTTTATTTCTTACCCACTGGTTCCCTAAATCGTCTTGTCTACCGGATCAAGGCCAGGAAATTCTAGGATCGATCGTTCAGTGAAAATTGCGAATTTCGCACGGGAATTATTTGCAGGAGGGAGTTGAGACTGAGAATGTCACCGGAGGAGGCATAAAACAGGAGCGATAGTGCGCTCAACTTTGTAGGGGGTGCAATGTATCATTTGCCATGTGCGCGACGGCGGCGTGTGTTGGAGCCAATGTCATGCTGCAAGTTCAGCATCTTATTCGAGATTTTTTTTCTCCTGTCTATTCAGTGGCCAAGCGACAAGACCGAATCCCCCGAATTGTTGCAGAAGAGAATATGGTGAGACCATTTTTATAGAGAACTTTACGAGCAAAATTACTGGACAAGAATTCTTGTTCACTCTCCGCTGAGAGAACTGAAATAATGATGACGGCATTGCCAACCCGTTAATGTCGCTCCCTCCACGAATTCATTCAGCGAGACGTGAGGCGCGCATACTAAATATTTGGTTTTGTCATTACAACTCGGGGGAATCCTTGATAATCGAAGGTGAAAGAAAGTCATTTCACGCCTGATCTCTGACATATTCGGGTACATCACTTTCATTTCTCATGAATGGCAAGGAGTGGGATCACTCCGAAAGGAAAATCATCACAGATCGAGACGATTAGCAACCCATTCAAAAAGAATTCCTTGCATTATCTCTATCATCTAATTACTTTTCGTTATCTCCTCAATTGCACGTGCGTAATCCCCCGCGATGGAGAGAATGACTCAACCCAACGTTAATGGCCAATTAAACTCCGTTGCACTGTTAGAAATTTTTTGAAATTTCAAGTTTTAAGGAGAATTCACGGAAATTCATGAGTTTTCAGGGGGAGTGAGGGGGAAATTTCACAACTCGATTGAATTTTGAGTGGAACAAGAATATTCAGAAACAAAACGACATGAATTTTCAATTTTTCCCCGAATGTTCCTGATTTGTCTGAATTTTCGCAAATCAATTGAACTGAAAAATCGTATTTTATTGATTTCCGATTATTTAAACAGAAAATCAATGGAATATTTGATTTTTCAATGCCAAGATTTCCTGAAATTTCAGTGGAACTTGCACACGATAAAAATTTCCGGAATTTACCACGAAAATTTTGAAGTGCATGGAAATCCTTTCAATCTCCCGTTCTCAGAAGACAATCGAACGCCTGAAAAATGACGGATTCGGCCGCAAAAAAAATCACAGAACCCAAGACGATCATTTCGCGGTGTAAAAGCCAGTTATTTATTACTGGATTTGAGAATAAACCGAGCTGACGGGGCGCGAGGCGAATGTCTTTGCATCAGGTAATACAGGCCGGCACCAGGGCTGACATCATCACCACATAGTACGCGTGACGCAACCGTTCGTGTAGTACGGCGTGTATGAATTCGGAATGCCGTGCCCTTCACAGACACAGAGGCATGGGAATGTTCCACAGCCCACCCACTAAACTAAACAGAGGGGGAGGGTTAAGGGCCTATGGAGATAAGGCAGTTATTTACAATCATCTGCATGACGATCCCAGATGCCACTTTTCCCGGTTAAAATCCCGCTGGGACTCTCCCGACCCTTTCGGGGCTAAACCGGCCGGTGTCTCCGGTATTTTCCCCAAAAATTCTAGATAATCCCCGGGTCAACATCTCGCAATTTCAATAGACGAGACTCCAAATATCCTGAACTCACTAGCGAAGCGGTAATCCGGTCACGTCGATTTTGACTTTTGGCCAGTTTTTGACGAATATCCCGGAATCTAAGAGAGCTATCAAAATTTCTCTCACGACCTTTTTTACAACCCTCAATTGGCTCCACAAAAAAGGTGATGACAAAAATTTTTCAATCTCTCTTAGATTCCGAGATATTCGTCAAAAACTGGCCAATAGTCAAAATCGACTTAACCCGGTTGACCGCTTGGCTACTGAATTAAACCACTCGTATCTCGATACGAACGCCCAGTCTCGTCAATTCCAATGTAAACATTGCAGAAAATTTACTCGAAAGTTGTATACCTCCAGGGAGAGATGACAAATATCACGAGCTGGTTTTATAGAGGTCAGAAACATTAAATAAACATTCTCAACAGATTCTTGTGGCTCATCCATTCATCCATTTTGTCACGTTCAGGTATAAAAGAAGATACATCAGGCTTCACGATTATTTAATAACGCAATGTCCGAAAAATGGGAAAATACGAGTGGTCAAAGCTGCAGCCAACAAGTTGAACACAAAAACACCGATCTTCAACTTTTTAGGCCAAAGGAAAGTTACCGTCCCCCGGTAACTAGTCAATGGAGGTTAACCAATAATGTTTGATGATAGAATGAAAATAAATAGTAATTACTTGGTCTTGAGATCCTCGTTGTCATCCCAGAGGCGTTTGGTATCGATTTCGAGTTTAGCTCTTTCCCTGGCCGTCTCGTCGAGCAATTTTCTAGCATCAGAGAGCTCATGCTCGTACATAGACTTGATATTAGACACCTCCCTCGTCGTAACCTCCTGGGATGTCTGTACTTCCCTGGTGAGCCTCGAATTTTCCGTCTCCAAGTGGCGCACTTTTTCGATGTAACAGGCAAGGCGATCATTGAGATTTTGTAAATCCTGTTTCTCCTGTAGACGTGAGTAACGCGTAGGGCTGAGTGGGCTTCCTGGACGCCGGCCTATAGGCGTCGAGGTACTTGGCTGAGGCGACTGTACCGAGCTGACGCTCGACGACGCCGCAACCGTCTTTTTACTCGATTTTGTTGACATTATCAATTATTTGAACACAAAATAAACAGTTAACACGATGACAATGTTACCACAATAATGATTAAACCAACTTATTAATCGGAAATTCACGGTAACTCAGCGTCTCCACCGCCGGATATGTAGTTTGTGATGCTTTTCGACTCACTGCTCGCTATGTGAGACCGAATGGACGGTATTTGCGTGTGTGTGGCTTGTGCGCGCGCTTCCCTCTGGCCCCACACAGCACGACGATTTTTCTACTACTGCAGTCAATCGAGAGAGAGCCGGAGCATTCATCGGACTAGGACGCGGTGTGCCACAACTGCCAACGGTCGGGTGGCAACGCCGTCCCGGTTACGACTCTCATTGGAGAGGCTCTCTCTGACGTCACGGAATTTGAATCCACTCGGGCCAATGGGGAGCGAGCATTGTCAACGATTTTAGTTGTGAAATGGACGAGAAGAGTTCGCGTGCCGGTTTGAATTGGATTTCGTGTGTGATGTGTTTGTTTACAGATTAAAGCCTCCATGCGTGCCACAGGAGAGCTGAGAACAGGGTGAGTTTGTTTATCAGATAAAATGGAGGAGTTGAAACCGTTGTTGGTAGGTATTGTCGATCGAGAATCATTTTGGGGGGTTAGGGAGGATTTTTTCGAACGTCAGAGAACGCTTTGTTCCAACGGTCGGCAGTTATGAAGAGAGATTGTAGTAATTCGTGTGGACAACGAAATTGTTTTCCACGAAATGTCTGATCTTGCGATGCTTTAGTGCAGCATGTGGATGAGAACAAAGGGGTTCTCGCTGGGCTGTGGGCGGGCTGATGAGATTCCATGTAAAGTGTTTCTTTATTTCTTTACAGACGGAAGGGGCAGCACGGAAGGCCCGGAGGAGCAGAACGGTGAGTTTGTTGACCAGGAAAAATTAAGATGAAAACTTTTGAGGTTGTTTGTGATTATTGTCGTCCTAGAGGTATTTTCGGGGTTAGGGAGGAATTTTTTCGAACATGAGAGAAAGATTTGTCCCACCAACCGACAATTATAAAGAGTGGTGTTGGTGGTAATTCATACGAACTAGGAAATAATGATGATCGGAGTCCACGAAGTGTCTGGTTTTTGGTGACGCTTTAGTGGCTGGGAAATAGTATTTTTCATCACGCTGTGCGAAAAAGTAACTTTTTAGGCACGCTTCGGGTGCCTAAAATGTCCCTTTTCCACAGATTGTGATGAAAAATATTGTTCGATACTCGTGGGAAAAGTGTTTTTTGGCTCGTGGGAGGTTTATGGCACGAACCGAAGGCGAGTGATATAATCCCATGAGCCAAAAAACACTTTTCCGCACTCGTAACGAAATATACTATTTCCGGCCTGTTGCGATGGGGTTTTTTACTCGTGTGGCCAACCACACGAGTAAAAAAACCCCACCGCAACAGCCCAGGAACAATATTTTTCTGTAGTGATTTTCAAGTTTTCGAGTTTGGGAAGTATGTAATACCAATTCCCAGACGAGAAATCGTGAGAAGCAGTACAGAAAAAGAGAGTTTCTGAAGGTGGTTTGCATTAGATTTCATATGAAGCCTTTGTTTGCCAAAAAATTGAGGGATTACCGATGGCGGTGGCTGTGTGTAGGTTGTGGGATTGGCATGCGGGACCCGGGTTCGATTCCCGATGGGGGAAGGCCAAAAATTTGATACACTCTAAATCTCGCCAACTCGCAAGAGACGACTGTACCTTTACAGGTTTTTCCCTCAAGTGAGGTTTTTCCCTCTCCTTCGGCGAATGCGGTACAGGGGGTTGCGGGTGAGAAAGAAACAAATCGTAAAGACTCGAGAGAGTATACAAGAGAAGATTGAGGGATTAGACCTGTTGTTTGTAGAGGAGGGTGGGGTAAAACGGACACTTTAGACTTTTTTAAAATTATTCATAACTCAGAAACAAATTGATCAATTGAGCTCAGTTTAGACTCGTTATAAAGGGAAAGAATTGTTCTTTGTATTGAAACAAAAATTATTAAATTTTATCAACATTTCAACCCCTTATTAACATTTTAAAAAAGTCAAAAGTGTCCGTTTTACTCCAACCTCCCCTAATTATTGTCACTCGACAATTATTTTGGGGGGTTAGAGGGGAATTTTTTCGAACATCAGAGAAAAGTTTATTCCAACAATCGACAGTTATAAAAAGAGAGACTGCTTGTGCTAATTTATAGAAACAAATAAAATAATGAATAATAATAATAATTTAGTGCAGCACGGGGTTAGAAAAAAAAGAGATGTAGAGCCGATGTGAGTGAGAGTTCACGTAAAGTGTTTGTTTACAGACGGAAGAGCCACCACGTAACGTCCAGGGGAGCAGAGACCGGTGAGTTTGTTTACCAGTAATAATTGAGGAATGAGAACTTTTGAGGTTGTTTGTAATTATAAAATTATTACGAACCATTTATAGAATTATAAACTAATTTTCATTACTTTAATAGCCATCATACGATTAACCACTAATATGGTGATAAAAAATGAATTTCAATCCATTACTAATTACGGCATCAGTCAGAAATTCATTGCTCTCGTTTATCATTAATATGGTAATCAAAAGTTAATTTCCCTCTATTACTGCTCACAATGAATTCGATTGTGATGAAATCCAAATGTTCGCGAAAATGAGATTGTCAACTCTGATGAAAGCGCGTATTTATTCGAAACAATAGATTTGGGGAAGTTATACTCAGACGATTGAGATTCTGAGGAAGTGGACTTACCATATGGTGAATTCGTTCAGCCGAAAAATTCGAGAAATCAAAATTTTCAACGTTGCTCGCAATTATTGTCACCCTAAGATTATTTTGAGGAATTAGTGAACGACAAATAGTTTTGAACATCACAATATGATTTATTTTAACAATCAGCAATAACAAAGGTAGACGTGTTTTTTATAATCCATATAAACGAAATAATTCTCCTCGAAATATCTAATCTCGAATTTGGATTACGTTATTATGCTCGATAAAAATATACCTATTGATAAGTGTACTATAATCCCCTCAATTTCTTATCATTGAAAATTGATGGATTTCAAGTAGAACAGAACAGAATAGAACAAAAGAACAATGCCATCTCCCCCATTCGTTCGGTATTACTCAATAATCAATAATGACTCTTAAGGTTTTCTCATTAAAGAATAGTTTGTTATCTCTAATATTAAATATAGACAATTCTTGTATAATATAGAGTTCTTCTTCGATATATAATAATATATATAATTCATTTTTTGTTTCTATCTGCGAGTGTTTTACATAAATGTTCATGTGTCGAATGACGTGTGAATTAGTTATCCTTCGGTTACAAGTCATCATGTGTAAATTCATTTTAAATTCATCGAATTCTTTTTGGTCTTACAGCAGTGATGCTTCAGTCGTCTTTGGTTGATGTGCGTATTAAATCGCCTCGTACCGATTATGCATATTATTTCTCATTCGTCTGATTGTTGCGCCGATAATTAACATCTCAATCCTGTTCCCTGAGTTGGTATACAACCTTTTCAGTCTTTACCATAGTATACAATTTTTTATTATTTTTTTCTCTAAATAAATTGCCATTTTCCAACAAACACCACACGTCAGGTTAAACAGTCAATGAATTTTCAAACTTGTCTCTCACTTTTTAAAGGCATATTCGTCAGTAGTATTCTACGAGAAATCTCGTCATTTATTTCCAACGAATTGAAAAATAAAATCAATAGTCTTTTGGTAACTTCCTACCAGTTGCCCACCATCGAATGGGCTAATGCCTTTCATAGAAAACAATTTTCTCAACATTATATCACTATGTTCGGAAAAAGGAAATCCTGTCCGCTATTCGTTGAGTCTTCCATCGGTCAATTACCAAAATAATGATAATTTATCAATAGAAAATATTCGCACTCTGTATTTGACTAAATTAACAATAATTTCAAGACCTCTTGGACACATTCAGATTAGTTGAAATGAAAAAATAATTATTCTTGCATCCCAGCAATTGAAACGAATCTTCCCATGGAAATTACGATACATATCACCAATGCTCGACCCAAAAACAGCCTCTCAACCTCTGAAAAAAATGATTCTACGTACCTACAACTAGAAGTACAATTAGGAATGATTGATACTGCCAAGACACTTTGAGAAGAATCAGAAAAGTTGATTGAAAAAAATGTATCAAGTTAAAACGACGAAGCTATCCTACTAATCGTTGGCAGCAGCCCCGTGCCTCCTGGGTCGTTTTCCAGTCTTCTGTTTCCTATGAAGATTCCCCTCGACCTTCCCCCTGGTCTCAGAAGACTCGGCCGAGCTGTCAGACCCACTCGCCTGCTCGAGTTTCCTCTTTCTAGCTCTCGTCACAGGGCCACTTCCACTGCTATTGCTGTTGCTATTGCTGTTCTGCTCCTCCCCATCGTCTCTTTTCCTCCTCTTGGTTTTGGGTGCTTCAAGAGGCTCTCTGACCCTCTCCCTCTCTAGAAGAATACTCCTAGGCGAATTGGAATCAGAAGACGACGACAGCGAACTCAAATACTCGTTGACCCTCTCCTCCCCGAAATCAAAGGCATTGGGTTGGGCTGGGGAGGCCGAGGTCGTCATAGAAGTTGTGGCACTAGGTGGTCTCAACACTTGAGCAGAAGAGGGACTGGACGACGTGGTGGAAGCCGAAGACGAGACAGAGGAAGAAGTCGATCGTTTGTGGAGTTTCCTCCTCTGCGCCAGTTTGGCTCCATCTACATTCTTCAGCTTGAAGGAATTCGGCTTCTCGTTGATACCAGAGGTGGACTGAGTGTGGAGAGGTTCAACAGGTGTGCCCGAGCTACCAGTTAACCAGCAATGACGAACCAGAGCTGACGCTGTCAGCCTCTCATTAGGATCTGTCGCCAGCAATGCTTTCGCTATTTCCTTGCCAGCTGGACTGATGTGCCTCCACTCATCCCCATCGAAGTCAATCTCTCCAGTTCTGATTCTACTTGCCAGGTCTAGACTGCCAACCTTGAACGGAGGCTTCCCAGAGAGCAGGGAATACAGGATTGCCCCTAAACTCCAGAGATCACAGCTCTCGTCGTATCCCTGTCGAGCCAGGACCTCCGGTGCTGCGTAGGGAAGGGTGAAGCACGGAGTGTGAAGGGGCTCGCAGGACCTTTTCAATCTGGCAAAGCCAAAGTCCACGACTTTCACTGGTGAATCTGCTCCAGAGTGAGCGTAGACCAAATTCTCAGGCTTCAAGTCCCGATGAACAACTCCACGCGAGTGCATGAATTGCACTACTGATGCCAATTGTTTCATCACTTTGATGGCCTCTTTCTCAGTTATTTTGCGGTTTGAACGGAGCAGTTCACCGCCTGAGAGCAATTCCATGACTATGTATGTGTGGGCTCGATCTTGGTAGACGTCGATTAATTTCACTACATTTGGATGGCCCTGGCAGGCACGAAGGAGGTTCGCTTCTCGGCCACAGTCCACTCTCCTACTTACAATTTTCACTGCGTACTCTTGTTTCGTTTGGCGATGTCTGCAGAGGCGACAGACGGAGAAACTTCCGTCGCCAAGGGCTTCTCTCCTCGGGTCAATATCGTAGTGCTGGAAAAATGTGGATTCCTCGAAACGGGAGGCGAGGACTGACGAGGCAGACGGAGCGTGACCCTCTGGGGTTGAGTCTCGGAATATGTCTTCGGACACTACGTTGTCACCGAAGAGGACTGATGGGGCAATGTAGGAGTATCCCTGAGAACAATTAAACGAAAATTTAATTTTCATTCTTCTCGATACTTTCGGAATGTTAATTAAACTGGGCTATTAGTTCAGAACTTTTCTATGACTAATCTTTATTGAATAGTTAACAAAATTAAAGAGGACATTTGAAATTCAACAATTGAATGAATCATGCCCCATTTCAAAGTATAAGAAAAAGACTTTGAAAACGATTAGAGTTCATTCTGTTCCACTTTCTCCTAATGTATTTTCATTTGCGTAAATGGGAAACCGTCATGCAAATAATGAAACACATTAAAACTCACCCGAAATATTTTGTCATAATTGGGTGGTACAACCGCCGGACTATCAGCAGCTACCATTTTCGTGAATTCATCCGAAAAATTGCTGGTATCTAGTTCGTGAGCAATTTGAGGCACAAAGGGTGGTTCAATCTCTCGTTTCTCCAGTGCAGACCAACTGAATGGCTTCGGGGCTTTCCTGAAGAATGGATGCTCCTTGAGCTCTTTAGCATCGCCAGGTCCACCCCCCAATCTTTGTCTCGGATCTTTAACCAAGAGCCTGGCAAGAAAGTCCTGAACTTCTGGACTCAAGTGGCTTGGAATTGGTGGCTCGGTTTTAAGAATTCTACGTGATATCTCCTGTTGAGTATTTCTCTCTCCTTCTACGGTAAATGGAGAGGCTCCTGTGAGAAGTTCGTAAGCCAATACTCCTACGCTCCACCAGTCGACAGCCTGAAGTGTTGAGAATAAGTTGAGTGAGAATTGAGGAGTAGAAAAATCAGGCAAAAGTCGTTATTTCATGCTAGGGGATTTTTCGTTACACAATTCCACTTCGAGAGGAATTTCCGATAAAAAATTTTCATAGCACCGCCCAGTAATTATATAAATGTCTTTATGCAGAACTAAAGTTTCTGTGCAATAATTCTTCGTAAAGATCCCCTCCATAGATGTCTCTGAGGAAATTCTTATTCGAGTTCTTCATAGGAAATCTTATAATAACTTGTCTCGACAAAAGAAGTCTTTTGACGAGTTTCCGGCTCCCCTAATATCCAACATATCCTTGAAAAAGCGTTTTTCAAGTGAAATTGAGTCATATCGTTTCATCACTTCACTGAAGTGCTTACACGGCATATTTCAGCTCAAAATACTTGACAATGTGTTGTACATTTCCACCTCGAAACAATGAAATACACATGTCACATTTATTGCAACATAAGCGTGTCATTCACATGATCAGGAAAAATAGTGGAAAAATTACCAACGAGATAATGAAAAAGTACTCACAATATCGTGACCAGCAGAACCGCCTCGGACAACTTCCGGTGCCATGTACTCAATGGTTCCACAAAATGAGTATGCCCGTGCATTGTTGTCCCTCTCGTGCGGCAGAAATTCTTTACTGAGACCGAAGTCCGTGAGTACTATGTGCCCCTCACGATCCAAAAGTATGTTTTCAAGTTTTATGTCGCGATAAATAATACCCAACTGTGAATAACAATGTTTTGTTAATGTTTTTTTTTTATGTGAATGTCTGTAGGAGCAATAATGCCCATCGAATGGGGTGCATTTGCGGCAGATCATTGGAATATCGTAAATAAGACAGGGTTATTTATGCTCACCGTATGTAAATGCTCCAGTGCAATAATAATCTCTCCGATGTATATCCGTACTTCATCCTCGGTGAAGTGTTCTCGCTGATAAAGGTGGGTGAATAATTCACCACCATTCACGTAATCTGGATTCAAATATAGAAATTTTCAATTTCAATTGGAAAATACGTCAATCCATTCGATTATTACGTAAATAAATCTTGCTCAGGATGTTTGACAATCGTTGAGATTCAACAATTGGTTTTTGATGGATACAAGCTATTGAATTGCAGTGATACAATGAATTATTCATAATTGTACCTAAAATTAAGTGAAGTTTAGCATCAGTTTGAAAGGCGTAGTGGAGTGTCACCAAGAATGGACTGTCCCTCACAGCCTCAAGAACTTGTCTTTCAGTTTTAGTGTGCTCCGTTGTTTTCTTTTTCTGAACAATCGTAGCTTTTTTCAATACTTTCATCGCATAAAGACGGCCAACGTCAGCGCCAATTCTCTTTCTCACGAGGAAGACTTTTCCATAAGCTGAGAGACAAAAAATAACAATACACATTGTTAAACGGGAATTAACATTCAAGGATCTTCATATAAATGATAATGATGTTGTTAATTTTTCGAGCCTTTACCTCCTGTTCCAAGGACTTTCAGCAGATCAAAGTGCGTCATGTCTACCCTCTGGCCGGCGCTGTCAGTAAGATTAACTGAAACAATATGAAAAAAGCGACTGTGAATTTATTGTATGAATGGGATTTGATTGCGAATCAAGCACTTTGGGGAATTCATTTCGGGGGAATTTTATGCGACAGCTTTCATTTATCATTCAGAGTGATCGTTGGGCTCTTCCAGATGTTTATTTGCTCGTTGGCAGGTGCGTAAGACGAGTCTCCTTGGGGTATGTGCTGAGTTGAAAAACAAAAACATCTCACAATTGTTACAGCAAATTTGAATAATCAATTGCGATAATTTATGGAAATGCCTGAGGAGGGAATGTGCTTCGTGCAAAAAGTCTTCGAAGATGCTCATGCGTCAAACATATTTCCCAATCACAATCATTGTTTTTTATTCCGAAAACCTCATCACATCGCATTAAGATTTTTTTCTTCTTATCATAATTTCATGTCCATTGTCGATTTCCATTTGAAGCGATACCCTACATTGGAGATTCTTAAACAACAAGGAAGTGAGCCAAGATTAAGTGAAATAGAATCAGGTGAAATGAAATCACCATTAATGCTCCCCTGTGTCCGCATAAATTTCACCAATCAAGTTTAAGGGAAAATAAACATTGTCGCGACTCAATAGATTCAACCCCTCTTGAACTTTTTCCCGTTAACCCCCCTCGGTGCTTACACAGCTCTCGTTTGCACGTGGAATATCCGTGTCAAGGTGGTGGAATGGCGCGGCCATGATCACACTTCGGCGTTTACCTATGTTGTTACTACACCACACAAGTACATTTTACTCGGTTCAACGTTAAGACGCAAGAGAGTAGACAAATATATATACATTCTCTGAACAGGTGTAATGGTAACTTAGCGACCCAGTTTTATGACTGACTATATACTTTCGTGGCTTCCGTTTCTGTCGCGACGTATCATCGAGTTTAAACGAGGAAAGAACAATGAAAAGTTTTTCCTTCCTAATTGCTCGAAAACTTTTGCTCCCCAGACAAATACCGAACCCTTGAATTGAGTACTTATTATTGTAAGTACGTGTTTTGGTTGCGAAACGTTTTGCTTAAATAATTCACACAATTAGTTTTGAGGAAATATCTAGGGAATGAAGGGAAATAGCACAATTTCCATGGAGATGTTTTTTGTGGAGACGATTGAGAGCTGCAACAATGCTCCTCATGAAAATGTCGCCATCTCTCTTGTATTTGAAAATATTTATCAAAAACTGGCCTCGAAGCGGAATTTCTTTGAAAGAAGATAAGTTAATTCCACTTCACAATTAGAGATTTCCAACAATGAAAAGTTTCTCCTGCCTAATTGCTCAAGAACTATTGCCTCTCCGGCAAATACCAAACCCTTCATGTAAGTACTTATTACTGTAAGTACGTGTTTGGCTTGTGGAACGTTTTGTCTAAATAATTCACATAATTAGTTTTGAGGGAATATCTGGGAAATTAAGCGGAATAGCAATATTTTCCGGGAGACCTTTGTTGTGGAGATGAATCAGAGCTGTAAAAATAGTCCTCATGAAGATGCTGTTATCTCTCCTGTATTTGAAAATATTTATCAAAAACTGGCCTCAAAGTGGAATGAGCTTTTCTGCTTTCAAGTTATTGGATTACGTGTAGGAATACTCAATAAAAACACATTAGTTTTATTCTTCAAAGTAAAACTCTTTAATGATCGCACGCAGAAGGTATATCTTTCTCCAACGAAGTCTCTAGGACGACTAACTAAAAGTCATGAGAGTTTTCACTCTCTGGACCCATTTGACAAAAGGCCCTTGTTTCAATTTTCTTCAGCCTCTCCTTTGTGACTCACCATGAGGACTGTTTTTCTTCACGTCTCTATTTTCTAAGAAAAGCCATAAATGTCACCCTGAGTGTTTGGGTGGAAAAGAGAAAATGTTTAACTAAACTAAGAAATTAATTTTTGTATTCAGGCATGAATTCCAACACAAGTAAATTCCACTTCGCAATTAGTTGTTGAAGAATGTAGATAGGGAGATTTCTAACAATGAAAAGTTTTTCCTGCCTAATTGCCCAAAACTATCGCCCCCCAGACAAATACCAAACCCTTCAAGTAAGTACTTATTACTGTAAGTACGTGCTTGGGTTGCAGAATGTTGTGTCTAAATAATTCCCCCAATCAGTTTTGAGGGAATATCTCAGAAATTAAGCGAAATACCAAAATTTTCAGGAAGATTTTTTTTGTGGAGATGATTGAGAGCTGCAAAAATGGTCCTCATAAAAATGTCGCCATCTCTCTTGTACTCAAAAGTATTCATCAAAACTGGCCTCGAAGTGGAATTAGCTTATCGCCTTCTAAGTAAACTCCACTTCACAATTAGCTGTAGAAGAATGTAGATAGGGAGATTTCCATCCAAACATTTTTTCATGTTCATTCAATTTCAAAAACATTTTCCGAATGCACTACTTACTTTTCCCTCGCCTCAATTATCATTTTATCTCACGCCCCAATATTCCCGAGATGTTTTTTTTCTTCCGAACGAAATGATCTCAAGCATAAAAATAGCCATTCGGAATAAGATTTTTTGTCAGCAAAGTTAAACGCACGATCGACGAGGGCGTGAGCTAATTTCGAAATTTTTCTTTCGCAAAGACCATTTGATACGAGGCCGAGGAGGATGGCTAGTGCATTAAGCTGGTTAATACATTGGCTTTATAAAACCCGGGACTCCTCTTCTCCCGTCGTCTCTCTGTTTCACTGCTCTTCTCCCCTCGCTCTCGTCTGACCCCCACGGAAGTTCCGCTTTTGTACGACCCAGATAACCGGCATTCACTCGCTATTTCGTAACGGGACCGACTTTCTTTCGGTTACCTGACTCAGACAGCTCGTGCGCGCTCAGCACGCTTGTACACTCGCCTATATCTCCCCCCTTATTGCTCCAATGCAGCAACCCCCTCTTCATTTTTTTTCAACTGTATTAACCAGGATTTTGTAATTCATTTGTGTGGCTTTGAGTGGGTATTTGGGTAGCGTTTATCGTGAGTCGCAGATGTAATTGAATTTTTCGGTTTCCTTCGGTGTTTGGGATGAATTAGGTTGGAAAGAGAAAGGACCGTTAAATCTAAGTAAAAGTGGTTACTACTTCAATCTGCGTATATATTACGATTATTATAAAACAGGGAACATCTTGAGATATTACTGTTTATCTTTCGATACATTTAACGACTGAGGTTGCCTATTGTGTTTATTATTACTATTGTATTAATAACGGAAAAAAAATGATAGAGGTGTTAGATGCATTGGACTAGATTATTCTAAGGGATGGAAACAAAATTTTAAACCCGACAAATGAAATAAAATAAAATATTAAACCCTTACCACGCTCATAAAATACCACAATTTTCGGCCCAGGAATGCAAATGGAGGGGAGAAATTTTCATAATTAATGCACCCTTAGGTCAGTCCACACTTCCGCCTGATAGCGTTTTTTTTTCGTAAACGACGAATAAAATCAACAAACATATTGCGTTTCGGTAACAGCAACGGATGTGTGTTTGTTGCCAAAAAGCATCTGGTTGCGGAGATTTTCAGGTGTTTGGTATATGGAATGCATTTTATTTTTAAAGAGAGAGATCCAATGCATTAAAATTATTATCACTCATTACAGGAAGAATGGATTGACTCGTTGCCGGTAACAAAACGCCATGTGTTTGATGACTTTCGTCGTCGTTTCGGTGCGATAAAAATGCTAGAAATTTTATATTAAAAAAAATTTAAATTATGGAAATTATGTAAATAGTGATCCGAGGATTATCTGAAATCTTAACATTCCCCGAAATTTAAGGAACTGAAGATAATGATCCTTGAAAGCCCGACGATTTTTTTAGTTGTGTCACAGAGACGGGGAATCCCGTACAGCGCACGGTTGCAACTCGTCGACCGTTTGTTACGGGGAATACCGTAATAAGTAACGTTTTTCATTTGTCTGTGTTGTAGTACACGGAGCTAAATGACTGGCTTTTATACTTCGTGAAAAAAAAAGGCTTGCACATTCGTTTACCCTTCCAAGACGCCCGATTCAACCGCAGATTTCACCTCGAAAATCTCGGCGAGAATGGTGTTGAGAGAGGGAACTCATCGACTGAGGTTTTCATTAAATGTTGTTTCATGATTTTTTTTTTCAACATTCTTCTGTGAAAAGAATTTCCCTTGCATAATTTTTTCGTTGTTTGTTCTTCAATCAAGACTATTGCTTTCCAAAATTAATGAAACTAACATTCATTGATGATAACTACAGAAATTGATAACGATATAAATTGAAAAAAAGCGTCGCAACAGCTTTGAAATAACTAAATGATCAATGTGTCATAAAATTGTTATTAACCTGAAGAGAATAACTCTTTATTAATTTGAATACTTGTGGTCGCGGATAGACATTATTGACCTGCACTGGTAGATTGATTTATTTATTCCAAGCGAGATTCGTTAAATATTAACGGATGGTAGAGTTGAATATGACCAAATGAATATTCGTTAATAGTTAACAAATGGTTCACTTGAAAAGTGAAAATCGAATCAAACAAGGCTTCTCAAATCCACATTTGTTACCTATTAACGAATGAACATTTGGTGAGACCGAATAGACCCTCGTTTCCACCCAAATCCATTCGTTAACAATAACTAATCCTGTCCATCAGTGTGTTCATTCTAAATTCCAAATTTCAAGGAAATTTTTGAATCATCTTCATGTTTTACGAATTTTCCTCTGCTGTGTCTACACATTTCCTCAATCAATCTAATTGAATTATGATAGGAGAATTTTGAAGAAGAGAAAAAATTAATATTTGATGAATTTCCAATCATTCACTCTTAAGAATAAAGGCTACATCCGACGACGAAGTTCAAGGCGCCCCGCCCCCCTCCCCCCATTCTGCCGACATGAACGATGTTAACAGCTGCAAAGAAATGACAGTGTCATTGGACAGACCTCTGAGATAAAACTGACAAGCGATATCGCACGTTGTACAGCCATTATACGACCTCCTCGTCTCCTCGTT